CTCTTTTTGCACATCCCTTCTTCCCTTTCATTGTGCCTGTTCCCCCTTTGATCCACAACCTGCTTTTGACGTCCCTGACAGTATTCCTTTGTTGGATTTGTTTGCCCCCACTACAAATCCACCAGGATTTGTAGGATCCCGCACCTGGCAATAAAGTCTTTGAACTGTTCCTGCTTCTTAGATAATCATTACTTCAGCCACGTGTCAGGTACATTCGACCAAGACATGATTCTGTTTGATTATTTTTGCTTAAGAAATCTTAGGTAATGCTGACTGTTTATTTAAATTACTTTAAATTAATGTGGGAAATCGAAACATGTTGTCTTTTAATGGCTTGTCCAAGAACAAGTGAACTATGACATTTAGGTAAACCATGTTTGTAGTTGTACTACACTAAATCTTTTTTAAAACATGCCCTGCATGTTTACCTGCTCCCCATGCAAGAATTTGAGTTTTGGAAATAACTTCAACGCCTCTACACATGACAGCCATCTGTGTTTGTATTTACTATGTCCAAATGCTTCACACATTTCAGTAGACTGCTGCAGCTTCCTGTTCCTGTTTTTTGTAGGGGGCACCGGATTACAGAAACAAATCTGTTTTGTATCTTATTGCTTCTTTTTTGAGCTTTTTGTAGCAAAAGTAACATGTTTAATAAAAGGTGTGTTAAAAATTCAACATTTAAAAGTAAAATCTAAAAAAAATGATAATTAGATTACAACAGAGAAAGTAAAGCTTTAGTGCATGGTGATGTAGATGATCTCAAGACAGTAATGTAAAAACAACAGAATTCACATTTTTCTTGAATCCCTTGAAAGCGAGTGATTCCAGCTCATGGTCATCTGGTCAGCTGAGGACTCAGATGACTGAACTTATCACTTGTTGCCTCTGGTAGTGAACAACTGCTACGGTTGACTCTTTTGTTATGTCACCTCAAGATAGCCTGCCTGTCAGTGTCATGATTACCAGTGTAGTGAAAGCAAGCTCTAGGTTGGGCAGATAAAAACCTGAAAAATGGTCTTAAATTATGAAAAGAATAAGCAGGGTGTTACAGAGATTTGTCTTCAGTTGATCTAATAGAAAATGACATGATAGCGATCATATAATATGCTGTAAGCTGTATAAGTGACTCTAAGACCATGAAATGCTTTCAGATCCTAAAAAGTACATTTACTCCTTAGCTAATAGAGTGAAACACAGTCATATTATTAAAAACAAAAAACTGTGTTTTCTTTTTTGATGGTGTGAGTAAATTCACACAGCATGTAGTGATGTTCATTGTCCAAAGGTGCACAACCTTCCATAGTGCATGACACCATGTGTGTGTTACTCCAAACAATGAAGCTCATGTAAATCAAATCCTTTGCTAGGGTTGCTTGCGCTACACATATACTCTGACTTCCACCTGTTATATCTCCATCTGTTCACCAGTTTGTCTCTGACAAATTTCAAATGGCACAACAACACTCATCATTAGTGGTTCCTCTTGGTGTTCTTACTTTGTCTGTAATATCAGTGAATCCAACAACTCTTTCTTTACTGAGACAATAGACGGGGGCGATCGTGGCTCAAGAGTTGGGAGTTCGCCTTGTAATTGGAAGGTTGCCGGTTTGAGCCCCGGCTTGGACAGTCTCGGTCGTTGTGTCCTTGGGCAAGACACTTCACCCGTTGTCTACTGGTGGTCGTCAGAGGGCCCAGTGGAGCCAGTGTCCGGCAGCCTCTCCTCTGTCAGTCCGCCCCAGGGTGGCTGTGGCTATAATGTAGCTTGCCATCACCTGTGTGTGTGTGAATGGGTGGATGACAGGTTGTGTAAAGCGCTTTGGGGTCCTTAGGGACTAGAAAAGCGCTATACAAATACAGGCCATTTACCATTTTACTGTCCCATCTTCTCACCTCAAGTTAAGCTTTGGGGTGCTGTAAACACAAGGCTTGGGTATTTATTTACACAAGGGTTTTTTTCTTTGTGGCAAAGACATATAGATGTATCTTGTTTGTTTGTTTTGTGTGTGTGTTTGTGAGTGAAAAGGAACAGGCTAGACTTGGGCTTCATTTCTCATAGAAACAAGAAAAGAGTTTTTGATTGTTTACCTCCGAAAACCAGGGTTCAAGCAGCATCATTCAGAAATGGCAAGTTCTGCCATGTGTACGAAAGAGTTTCAGGCTAAAGGAGAACAAAGATTCTTCTCCTCCTTCATAAATCATCTTCATGTTGCTGGCTTTTTCCTACAATGTGGTCTCTTTCCAACCTCTGAGTTGAAAGGCAGCAAAGAAATATACTTATGAATAATTGTCTGTTTAAATTTCAGTAGGTTAATCTAAATATGATAATTGCATGGCACAGAAAGAAGGAAAACATTTCAGTTTGATGGGCAGTTCTCCAATAAACCACCACTGCTGAATACATCCCAAACAACATGCAGGTGTTTGGTAAAAAGACACAGTCAAACCTGAATCTCATTACATGCTGAAAGAGCAGCATGCAAAGAAAAGGGATAAGGAACAAATCTGTCACAGGTGAAAAGGAGACTGCCAACGAGAGAAAAATGTTTATGTCCCAAAATGCAGTTTCACAAATTAGAAAGCTGATACGTTTGCTTCTTTCCAACTTTCTACAAAATGTTAAACATTCGTTTGAGAAAATCGTGATTAATGCGGATTGATGTGCACCTAATGAATTATCAGTTACTGTTAAAACCAGTTTAATTATGATACAACCAGTCTTGTTGCAAGGCAAACATTAATGCTGTATTGTGTTCAGGGGAAGTGCTCTAAATATTTTAACAACAGGAAAGATCAAAGGAATGGGTTACTGGATGGAGGGAGAAACATTTTCCAATGCCGTATTCCTTACATAACATATTTCAAGTGCTTTGAGTGTTTCAAAATAAAGTTTCCATCTTTAGTTGGCATGAGTGTACATATTTCAATTTTGCAGGAAAAACGAAAGACATTTTTTCATGTTCAGAATATATATAGATTTAATAATTTTCTAACATGGCAGATACCTTTTTTAATGATGTATTCTTATGTTAATATATAAAAAAGTCACTTCTCATAACATACTTGCTGCTACAAATTTCCAGTTTCTCCTCCAAAAATAATTACAGGAGACAGATTTGCCGGAGGAGGGTTTTGTTCAGATTGGTAAACAAATTTGTTGTTGTTTGTTAGTTTGTTTTTCAATGCTGTCTTCAATTAAACGACAGCAGTGAACTACTTCCTTCATCTCTTATGGGAGGTTTGTTTAGTTCATTGCACAAATGTGCCACCATATAAACACAGTATTGTTGCAACGAAACTCTCTAGAACATCATACACACTTTAAATACACTGTGAATATGTTTACCGTTTCTATTACAATGCATATACTCTTGCTGAGGGTTTGCTCAAGTTTAACTGGTTGACGGTACACAGCAAAAACTGTAGTGTTGAATCAACTCCCACAGAGTTGATTTTAACATTTTTTCAGGGTTTATATAGCTCCACACTCTACAGAGTTGAATTAACATTTTCAAAATAGTTAATTATTTAACACTTTGTCAGAGTTCCTTCTTTAAAACTGGGTTAAATTAACACTGAGCAAATTATTATTAACACCATGTCTGAGTTAATTTTTAACTCACCAAACTGGGTTAAATTAACACTACACAGATTGAAAAATAACACTACTTTAACTCTTTAATCTTTTATTAAGGTAGTTTTAATCCCTAAAAGAACTATTTATGTAATAGATTAACATAACTTTTTAACGACAACAAGTACAATCATGAGAATAATTTCAAGAAAACTGTACATTGTCCAAAAACATTTATTATCATGCTTCTTTTTCCCAGAAAGTGAATCAAAACATAATAAATGAAGATATAATGTACAAACTTTCATCTGCAGCACTGTATGAGTTTTGAATATCAAATGGTCTGTGACATTTGAGTTCAGTTATTTTTATGACACACCGTTCTTCAGTTTGTACTACTTTGAATGCATGGTGATGTTCATCAAAGTTTTCAGTAAAGAGTTTGTGTGTCAACAAAAAAATGTCATTTTCAACCATAAGTGTATCAATTATTTGACAAAAGACTGGCATGTCTTCCTCCATTGTACTGCAAACAACGAGTCCAGCTTTGTACTCTACACCATCAATTTTAACCCAACTTGTTGAGAAAACATCTTTTGATAATAGCATTTCACTATTGACCACACTTTCACCTCTTAAAGAAAATGATTTAATTGGCCCAAACTCCTTCTGTTTAAGAGAAAAGGTTTCCCAGTGATAAGCAATGGCCATCTGATGCCGTTTAGCAAGCGATTTGGTGAGGTTTTTGAAATTTTTGAAATAATCTTTGAACAACTTGTGCTTAGCTTCAAACCTCATACTCCACATATACAGTAAAGGGCCAATTTTTCGAATACAGGATGGGTAATGAATCATAAAATGATGCTTAGGAATCAAGTTTCTGTGTGGATACGTGTGCTTAAATAGTTTGTGGTGGTCAATAATCAAATTCTTCAAATATATAGTCATTCCCAGAGTGAGACAAGGTGAAAAAACAATGTTCATTATTTGAAGTAACAACAATAACAAATTCCAGTGTCTGTTCCCTGCAGGAATAATGTCACCAAACAAAAGTGGGATGTTTTTCACAAGACAGAATGTCTGGATAGAGTTCAAACCAATGCTATTGCCAGCACTGTCCAATATGATTTTAGTGGGCCGGTTTTTTCTTTCTAAAAATCCATAGTCAAAACCATAAATCCTAGAAAGCAAGTTCTGTTCTGATATGAAGTGTTGCGTAAGATACTCAAAAAGCAATTTGACCTCATACTGAGCCACACCTTCAAGAAGGTCATGCATTATATCAAATGAGTAGTTATTGCAAATATGGTAATACTGCAATGAATTGAGTGCAGAATTTCTTTTCAACCCATACAGTGACTTCACTTTAGGATCTTCCCGAAGAGACTGGCAATGTATGTCAAACAAATCTTTCCCATGAAGAATAATTTTAGGATCATCCTCACTGTACACCATTTGACAATCATTCTTCTCAATCAAACAAAGGCGACAGAAATGACGGCTACTGAACGACTCATTAAAACCAAGAATTGAGTGCATCCCTAGGTTATCTCCAGTGATCTGTGATATTGTGCCATATACCTGCTCATCAGAAAATGGAAGACTTAGCCCTTGGCTTTCCAGTTTTTTGACATCATTTATCAGTGGTTCCAGTATAACATCAAAACCATACTTTTGCAGATCTGGTGTGTGGAAAAGTGACACTAAATGAATGTTCATCAAAATGGAATTAAATTTTGGGGGCAAGTTTCTTATAACAAAATAAATACAGCCAATTTTGTGAATTCCGCGTTTAGAGCCAAGAGGATTGGCTGTTTCAAAGTCATCATAGTATAGCTGAATTTGTAATGCATGCCTTTTGGCTGAAAACAAAGGGTGAGTTTTAAAGTAACTTCCATCACAAAAGTCATGATAAGCATCAGGCTCTGAGCTACACTCTCTCTGCAGGAAAACACAAATCTCTGGATTTCTAAACATGAACTTCAAAGACTCCAAAATAGGTACATATATAAAAGTATCCTTCACAGGTACTTGATCATAAGTACCAAACTTCTGATTTCGCCTGATGTCATACCTCACTCCAAGTGTTATTTCTCTAGGTTCTACAACTCCCCATTTTAGATTGAAGTATTTATTTCATTTCCATTCTGTGTTCAGATTGGTGAAAGGGTTTTCAAAATTTTCAAAACATTCATTTATTAAAGATATGCTGGAGTCCTTTGTGGGTAACGCAGAAAGAATGGCCTGCTTTGCTTCTGAGCGAAGCTCACTTGTTAATTCCTCCAAATCGCCTACAAGTGAGGATACTAAACTGTTAGAAAGGCCACTACCCTGCAGTTTGGCCACAATGGATGCACAGATTTCTTTGGATGAATCCCTTGTAAGTACTGAATCAATGCTCACTGGAACACTGGAAGAACTAGACTCTGGAAGAACACTGGGAGAACTGTGAGGAAGATAAGAGGAATTAAACTGGTCCTCCAAAGCAGGTGAAACTGTGTCATTAGAAAAAGAAGCAATGGCTGAAGTTCGATCATTGTGGTCAACATTGCTGTGAAAACTGAGGTGCTTCCTAAAGCCTGCATAAGTTTGGAACTGAAGCCTGCAGCCTGGCTGCCAACAACATAACTTAAACTTAGGTCCAGGATAATAACCATGTTCACCTCTTAAATGTGAAATCAGCTGCTGACTGCTGAGATAAGCTCTCTTACACAAAAAACATGTCAGCATTTTAATGATTTTTACTTAGGTTGTGAGAAGAATTTCCTGGTTAAGGATTTTGGCTCTCAAGTCACGCACTCTTGGGGACTCCTTCATTTTCCCCATATCAATATTGTATACTGTTGTCTGCAGAAATGTGTAGAAATTCACAAGTGCAGCATCATAAGACACATTGAACACAAAATGAGCTTTAAGAAGCTCATCAAATGCCCCAAGGGAGCGGCTGGCCTGGCAGGGGATGAGACGCTTGTCTATGGCAACATAGAAGCTGTCGACCTTCCTCTTCTGGCGCCCAACAGCCAGGAGGTATGGCTGCTGACTCTGCTGATTCTGGAGATGCTCTTCCAAACTGCAGCAAGACTGGAGTTGAGACAAAGATACTGAGCATTAGACACAGGAGCAAGTCAGAGATAATAGCATCACAGAAATGAGTATGTAAACCTCCTTTGTAAGCTCAACTGTAATTTGTTTCATTCACCTCTTAACCAGTGACATGACAACTTATGACAAAAACTATAAATATTAAATTACCTTATGAAAGACTACAAGTCTCTCAACAGCATCAGAGGCGCTGATTTTTTGATACTTTGGTCCTCCTGGGGGTGGCGGAAGTAGATGTAACAGTAACAACAGGGAGGCCATGTCTTGGTCAAAGGCTGCGGCCAAAGAGTCACAAGAATCAATTGACAGCAAATCTTTCAAATGCAATTTTTAAGGAGAACTAGAAACACTTCCTAAGAAAGTTGAAATGTGCTGTCATAAACATTAAACTAACAGCTAAAGAAAACTGATGAAGCAAAGCTAACAGGTGAATGAATTGGTATTTATTAATAGAATCCTGATGCTATTGAACTTTAACTGCTTATAGCAAATCATATTTAACAAACTCACTTGCTGCCTCATCAAGATCACTTCCTGGTGGACTCTCTGCTGACTGCACCAATTGACGCAACTCTACTGTTGAGGTGAGCTGCTTGGCCTCTTTGATGATTTGATACCTAAAGATTGGATCCCATTTCTGAAGCAGCCTGGTAGATATCTCATCATCAAACAGGAGAGTGAAGTCTTGATTCACCTTTAAGAAAGAAAATCTACTACTGCCACATTCATCTTGAAATTTAAAGTGATATTAAAAATTCCACTGAATATTCTCACCAATCCTCTTGTATCCAAGAATCTTGGGAAGATAGACAGGATATCAAGACTTTTGTCAGGATCATTGATGACCTTCTGACGATGCTGAAAGGTCTCTCTCATCTTCTGGAAAATCAAGGAAGTGTCGGATGTATGTTTCAGCAAAGAGATGGCCTCCTGGCAAGCATCTCCATCAAGCTGCATGTCGACATTAATGGGCCTTTGGTAATTTGGGCCCCCTGAAGAAAAACACACAAACATAAAAGCATAGGTGCTGATCAGATAGGTAAATGAAAACAAAATAGTATCTAATGTAAATGAGCACATTATCTAGTTTGTGGACACTTAATTTCTTACCTCCTTGAGTAAAGCCAGTGGAGCTACTTGGTGGTGCAGATCCTCTTCTAGTCTTTCTCTGTATCGTTTTCAAACGCCAAGAAATGTATCCAGTGCTGCTTGCAGCATCATAGAAGTGTTCCTAAAATGTAAATACATTCAAAAATAATGTGTTGTCAATCTGAAAATTTTTAGAACTTAAATGTCAACACACACAAATCCCAATGATGCACAGCATGAAAATTATGTGAACAAAGTGCAATAGTAGTGACTATACATAGCCTTTCTTGGAGTATGGGTCTTTCAGGGATGGGAACAATGTCACTACCCCTAGCGCGTACTGTTCTCTAACAGCTTTGGTGGGGAGGTGCCTGAAAAACGATTTTAAATTAACATGCTTAAGTAATGGCAAAATAGTAACTTGTATTTAAAAAAAAATAAAATGCACAAATAGAACACACATACCCATGGCAATCAATCATGTGAGCCACTATTATATTGACCATTTTTCTTCTGGTAGCATCTGTTAGAGTTTGTGTTGTGTGATATTCCTGGAGAACCTCTTCACCACCTGAATTGGTTCCAAGTACACCTTCAATTAACTTGAGAAAAAAAAAGATGCAAAAAGTGAGGAATAGCTTTTCTACATATTAAGAATAATGAAGTAGAAAAAATACTATGAGAACTGAGTTTTGTCACAACCTTTTTAGCAGATGCTGCATCAACAGTACCCTCAACTCTTGTTTTCTTCCTGGGACCCTCATCTAGAAGTATAGTTGATGTACTTGCATTTGAGCTGAAGCTTGAGTCAGAACAATCAGATGCAGAAGACAAGGAGTAATCAGAAAATTCTAAAAGGAAAAAACAACATTATTCTGTAAGGTGTAGAAAAACAAATCTGGCTGCAGATTTTTAACTAACAAGGCAACATCACACTGCAGACCTGACTCATTTAAATTAACTGATCTCAATGTTCAAACAGCTGATTGGTCAAATTGTGTGCTCCTGATTATTTGGAACAACCAGCAGCCACGCAGCCACACAGCCCTTCCCCATGTCTGGTGTTGAGCTTGCCCCTTTAAATTTCTCACCATCACTTGAGAAAACTGTTAGGACCACAGTGCCTTGGCTGATAAGATCACTGAAAATCACTTCATCAACTTCTGTCCCTGTTGCATCTTTGTACACTACTTTTGCATCAGGTGGCAGGCAAAATCTCTCGATGACTGGAAAAGATAAGATATATCTGAGTGCACCTTTTAAGTAAACTGTTCTTGCCTCACATTCACTAAAGTGATACACCACTGTATGATTCAAGAGACTTGGCGAAACGCCCTACAAAAAATTCTGTCCCCCCAACTAAAATTAGGTAAGATATAAACAAACCTTTTTCATGAAACTGCATAAACTCAAAACGCCCATCAACCTCTTCCAACTTCACATACTTCTGCTGTTGGCAGTATCGAACCTGGACCAGCATTTTACTGGGATAAAATAATAACAAAGATGGCATAGTATTTGACATTTAGAGCAATTCAAGCACAAATGATTAAAACACTGACATATACCGTACATGGTGATTAATACTGACCATGCGTTTGAATTTCACTGCAATAACATTTAATGTTATCAAATAAACCTGTGTCTGTCCATGCAGGAGTCCAATTGATACATAACACAATACAAAATACACGTTAATCTATGGTGTAGTTTACACCAGACACGGAGTGCTACGAAGCGATTGTTTCGGTATCTGGTCTATTTTTTGCGTGGGCCACGCATGTTCCGCAGGAAGTTACACCAAGACACACAAGACAATCCAGGCAATTTTGAAGATAAAAGCTATTCTCCAAAATAAAATACTGCGATTGACAAATGCGATCAGATTTGTGTATGAAAAGAGACAATAGAGATGAAAATGAACACATAGCAAAGGAGGGGACAGCCTAACTGACTATGTTTGGGGCGGGTGTCTCAAAGGGAGAAGAGAGTGAGACAGAGAGAGAGACAGATTAGAGACAAGTCAGCGATGAACGATGTCAAAGTAAAAGCAGGAGTGACTAAAACAAGCTCTCTTCAATTATTTTGGGATGTTATTTACTTATCAATTATGAAAAAATTACTCTGAATAAACAGAGAAGCAAAAACGCTCATGAACTGGCGTGGAGAAAGACGTGTCTGTGTGAACAGGGGAAAAGCTGAACGTGGCGCGGCGCTTCCACGTGCAGTGTCTACCGTCACTTACGAGTAAAAAGACTGCAACATTAACATTAGCATTGGAGGCTAAATAGAATTTTCGAGATCTCCTCCTCTATTAAAGCTCGTTTTCAGCAACCGAACACCAAGAAACATCAAGAAAACCTCACTGCGCCGATAGAATACCGTGAATTTTATATAAGTTTGAATAACTTACCGTTTGTGTAAAATACTCCAATGAGTACGGCAGGCATCCACCACGGTGTAACCAGCAGAAGCACATGGAAAATCGGCCCGGCAGAGCAAACTATTTATTGATCCACGGGTTTACCTGGGCAGAAGCCCAGGGGCCTGCCAAGTTAAATAACTCTCTTCAGAGTTCATTTGCTTGGACTTGAATAACACTGTTTAATAACTCCAACACTGAACACTATTTGAATCAGAATGTGTTAAAATGACACTTTGAGAGTGGAAATCAACTCTAACATCTTTAACCCTGAAATTTTAACACTCCAGTTTTTGCTGTGTAGGCATATATGTTCATTTTAAAACTTAATGGAACATTGTGCAGTATGGTGGTATTTTTAAAACTTCAGGGTTTTGCTCGTTATTTTCCTGCATGCCTGTATCCACCATCCACCTGCTGCCACTGTTGGCAGCTTTTGAGAAGCTACACTTCAACCACAGCATGCATCTGTCGGGTCTGAGTCTTGTGTTCTAAAGGTAAATTACGTGAGGTTAAAGTTGAGTTGCACATATACAGTGGGGCAAAAAAGTATTTAGTCAGCCACCGATTGTGCAAGTTCCCCCACTTAAAATGATGACAGAGGTCAGTAATTTGCACCAGAGGTACACTTCAACTGTGAGAGACAGAATGTGAAAAAAAAATCCATGAATTCACATGGTAGGATTTGTAAAGAATTTATTCGTAAATTAGGGTGGAAAATAAGTATTTGGTCACCTCAAACAAGGAAAATCTCTGGCTCTCACAGACCTGTAACGTCTTCTGTAAGAAGCTTTTCTGTCCCCCACTCGTTACCTGTATGAATGGCACCTGTTTGAACTCATCATCTGTATAAAAGACACCTGTCCACAGCCTCAAACAGTCAGACTCCAAACTCCGCCATGGCCAAGACCAAAGAGCTTTCGAAGGACACCAGGAAAAGTATTGTAGACCTGCACCAGACTGGGAAGAGTGAATCTACAATAGGCAAGCAGCTTGGTGTGAAAAAATCAACTGTGGGAGCAATCATCAGAAAATGGAAGACATACAAGACCACTGATAATCTCCCTCGATCTGGGGCTCCACGCAAGATCTCATCCCGTGGGGTCAAAATGATCATGAGAACTGTGAGCAAAGATCCCAGAACCACACGGGGGCACCTGGTGAATGACCTGCAGAGAGCTGGGACCAAAGTAACAAAGGTCACCATCAGTAACACACTACAACGGCAGGGAATCAAATCCCGCAGTGCCAGACGTGTTCCGCTGCTGAAGCCAGTGCATGTCCAGGCCCGTCTGAAGTTTGCCAGAGAGCACATGGATGATACAGCAGAGGATTGGGAGAATGTCATGTGGTCAGATGAAACCAAAGTAGAACTTTTTGGTATAAACTCAACTCGTCGTGTTTGGAGGAAGAAGAATACTGAGTTGCATCCCAAGAACACCATACCTACTGTGAAGCATGGGGGTGGAAACATCATGCTATGGGGCTGTTTTTCTGCCAAGGGGACAGGACGACTGATCCGTGTTAAGGACAGAATGAATGGGGCCATGTATCGTGAGATTTTGAGCCAAAACCTCCTTCCATCAGTGAGAACTTTGAAGATGAAACGAGGCTGGGTCTTCCAACATGACAATGATCCAAAACACACCGCCCGGGCAACAAAGGAGTGGCTCCGTAAGAAGCATTTGAAAGTCCTGGAGTGGCCTAGCCAGTCTCCAGACCTCAACCCCATAGAAAATCTGTGGCGGGAGTTGAAAGTCCGTGTTGCTCGGCGACAGCCCCAAAACATCACTGCTCTCGAGAAGATCTGCATGGAGGAATGGGCCAAAATACCAGCTACTGTGTGTGCAAACCTGGTAAAGACCTATAGTAAACGTTTGACCTCTGTTATTGCCAACAAAGGTTATGTTACAAAGTATTGAGTTGTATTTTTGTTATTGACCAAATACTTATTTTCCACCCTGATTTACGAATAAATTCTTTACAAATCCTACCATGTGGATTCATGGATTTTTTTTTCACATTCTGTCTCTCACAGTTGAAGTGTACCTCTGGTGCAAATTACTGACCTCTGTCATCATTTTAGGTGGGGGAACTTGCACAATCGGTGGCTGACTAAATACTTTTTTGCCCCACTGTATATTCCATGTGAGTTGGTTATGTTAAATACATTTAACTGGCCTCATGCATGCTGTATCACATTAATATTTACATTATTTATGAGCCTTTAGGAATTCCTGCTTCTTTGCAAACCTACATTTATGCAATTAAAAGAAAACACTGAATGAGACTAAGACTGACCATACATCCATCTGCTAAAGGAGACATCACAACCGTTATGGAGACCAGTTTTAGTCCCTCAAATGTGAAAGCTAAACCTGAAGACTTATTGTCATAATATCAAGAGTGTTATCCTTGTTACAAAAAACAAAAACAAAAAAAAACAACAAAAAAAAAACAAAAATAAATGAAAACAGAAACAATTTAGAAAAAAATAAAAACTAGTCCAAAGGAAATGAGGAGTAAACTAGAACATCCAGGGAAGGCATGCCAGCAGGCAAAGACCACAGTACAAATCAGCAAAGAACAAGAGGATGACTAGGCTGTTTATACACAGACACATAAACAGTGGAAAGAAAACAGATGAGTAATGAGAAGCAGTGATAACTATCAGAATACAGTGAACACAGAGACAGGAAGTAAAACTTACACACAAAATGAAAGAAAACAAACCTTCCAAAGTAAAACACTGTAAAACTGAGGAACGCTAACACAGACATTCATACCAATACAACACAAAAACAACCTACAGGATACATACTGAACACGACCACATGAAGACTTACACTACACCTAAACATAGAAATGACACACACACACACACACACACACACACACACACACACACACACACACACACACAGAGAGAGAGAGAGAGAGAGAGAGAGAGAGAGAGAGAGAACAACTAATACCACAAATATTAACAATAACTATATTTAAAAGGCTTTAAAATGACTTTGGATGAAAATCAAACTAGTAATCCAAACCCTAAGAATAGAAAGCCTATAATATAGCAAAGACTCTAGATTCAAAACAATGCGGGAATAATGATAAACAGAGAAAGACTAAGGATAAAACAGAAAGAGAAATAAATACTGCAAACAAACTGTCAAAATTAGGAAAAAGTAAAAAAAACTCAAGGTTACAAGTACAAATATAAGCACATGAGGACTCCAATCAGCAAATATCAAGAAAAATAATGCTACAAAACCCAACAAACAGACCAAAAGTACATGTAAAGGATGCCTGCTAGGTTATAATTACCCAAAGAAACAAATACCATAAGCATAACTAGCTCTTACAAAGGTCAAACTTTAGATATGAATCAAATCTAAAGTGAGAACTGAACTCCATAAAACTTGAAACCCTGGAAGGAATAAAAACTTCACTAGAAATAAATCAAAAACCAGAAACTAAGAAACAAAAAGCCCAGAATCCAAATATTAAAGAATACTAAACTCAACACCTAGTGACACATGCCACCAGTGCACTATGTATAAAGTTCAGTTTGGTACAAGACAAAATGAATAAGTTTAACATTTGTGTAACATTGGCGTATTAGAAACACTAAATCAATCTCTAATAATATTTTTTCTTAAATTCTATAAGAAAGTCAATTCATTATCGACAGATTAATTTGTTGATCTCTGGGATTTTGAATGTTTTTTTGTCTTCCATTCTCAGCTTTTGACCACTTCTGGCTCTGTGATAAGGGTCAAGAATACAATGTAGCTCGCAGTAATTAAGCACACACAGTCTCTCACCATTTATCATTGTGGTCAACATCTGGTTTACAGTAAAAACAATGCAAATCAGAAGAAAATAACTAACAAAAAAATAAATAAAAACAAAAAACTTGCATGACTGTCATTTCTAATTCCTCATCTGTCAGAATCCAAATTCATTTCCCATTTCCATAAAGTAGAAGCACACTTCTGTGTGTCCTGAAAGGCCACACGAAACAACTGTGAGAAGAGCAAAATACATGCACACAAGGTAGAGATTAAAAAGAGCCATGTCTGGAGTGCAAGTAAAATATATAACTTTGTTTAGAACTGGTAATTTTCTTAGAAGTCCTTGGGCTTTAAATAATGAAATAAAGATAAGACAGTGAAGGCAGCGTGTCTCTGCTTCTGTTTCTGGCATGTGGCTGATGGCAGCCCAGACTGCGCTTCTATTCTCTAGTTGATATCCTGAGATCTCAGTGCAAATAAAAAAGCTTTCAGAAACACTGCACCACTCCTCAATATACAAACAACACACACATAACACAGCCTGCAAGATTAGCTTTGAAAGTTCATTTTATCAACAAGCGTGAGCCAAGCAGAGAGACAGATATAGGTATGGCAATGAGACAAAGAAACATACTTCCGCACTGCTAGACAGGACAGGTGTGTATTTGCCCACATGCTTTGCCTAAACAGTGTATGATTCATTACTAATCAAAAATGTGAACATGACTCGTCACCACATGCCCTGCTTGTTTGTCATGGCATTAGGGTATTTTTAATTCTAGATATAGTGATTGAAGACATGTTTTTCACTTGGAGTGCTTAAACTTAGGGGTGGGTTTTTATAATCGATTCATCGATTAAAATCGATTCTGG